TATATATATATATGTGTATATACGTATATATCAAATTTTGTGCGTTGGTTTCGTAGCAATTTGGTAAAAAAAGCCATCCAAATGCTTATTGTAATGTGAATGTTCATTTCCGACAGGCTGCCACAGTTTTACAAAAATTTAATTACCGATAAATGTCTGACCGATAAATATAATATGAATGTATTGACCAATTCGATTTCCAACAGCATTCTGATTCTGATTCCAACCACCACGTGCTGCTGCATCGGCCGCTGCATCCAACGATGCACCATCATCATCACCCGGTGCTGGGCCTGGATCCGGCCCCATCACTGCATTATAGGAATAGCGAAACAACCGCAGCAATGCATTTCGTATCCGTAAAAGGCTGAAAGTACATGAACACTGGGAAAATAGACTAAAAACATAAGGGGATTGTAAAAAAATTCGAAACACAAGGTCGATTTAATCTTTCCGAACCAAAATTGATTTAATCTATCTCCAGCCCCTGCCCCCTCCCCCCGTCCCTTTTTTCCTCTTTACTGGTGGACTTGTGCGTAACGGCATGTCCCGTCATCGCAAGATATTTGGAAATTATTGAAATGAATGCCACTTACAATGGATCATTACGATTTTCTTCTATGGATCGACCGTGGAAAGTTTGAATGATTCGTCGAGTTAGCTCTCCGGCTGCATTCACTGATACAGATTGTGCGCCAGCAATTGCCGCAATCGCTGCTGCAGCAGCTGTCCCTCGGCCACCATTTGTATCTAAAATTCAAAAATTTCCGTCATTACGCTTACACGATTTCTTACAAGCAAAAATTTCATTTGTTGTTGAATGGTAACAGCACGGAAGTAAACAACCACTCTGGCGACTTCAAGGGTAGCATCATAAAAGCGCTAGAAAGGCAACAGTAATAATTCCACAGCACAGAAGGAATCAGCTTGAACACTTTTACAGAGTCATGTGGATGCGACAAAAATGGGATAGAAGGGAATATGAGAACTGTAGCTTGTAGCATCGATGGTATAGGCAGGTATAGGGGGGTACAGGTGTTTACCGAAACTTCAGCATACAAGTACTGCAGCTATGTTGCTTCTATAATGTTCACAGTGGGGATACTGAAGCAATGTTGCCGTCAAGCAATGCTGTCTGAAGCAGTGTTGTCTGCTTTCAGTGGATATATCTTATAAGTGCTACTGTGTCATTTGCATGGCATGCTAACAACTTGACGGCAACATCGCTTCTGTATCCCCAGTGCGGAAATTACAGAAGCAACACAGCTGCAGTACTTATGTGCTGAAGTTTCTATGAACTGCTGAAGGTGAAACTTAGTGAAGCTGAAAACGGTAAAACCATAAATCCAGGACAATCCACCGGTTCAAGATTTCTCATTTTCATTCAAATTACAGACTTATTCATTCAAACCTTCGAATAGAGTTCTAACTCCGCTGAAAACTAATAAGTAACTTAGTAAATTATTTAACCGACTATTCCCACCGTTGCTGCAAATTTCACTCTTTTTCACAAAAGAAAAGTGAACCAGACCGAAAAAAATAACAAATTCAGTACCTGCAGGCTCGCGCGTTCGACCACTGTTGCTTGATGGAGCATTTGCAGTGGAAGAGGAGGAAGGTTGGGCATACGGTGTCGAGCTAACATGACAATGTACCACACACTGATCATGCAGACCATAACTTAACAACGATCGCGTATCATCTCGTAGCAACTGTCCACGATAAATCAACCGTACCACTTTCCCGGCCAGAATTGATTCCCAAAAATAACGCCTAAAATGAAAAAAAAAAAAAGACTGAAGTGTGCATCAGCAATTGAAATAACAAAATATCCAATGCATTAGTATTGGAATAAATAAGGACAAGGGATTAGTCTACATATCACAAGTATCAATGGAAATATTTAAGAGCAATCTATGTGTTTCATCCCTTAGCTGTAAACACAAAGCAGAGCGTACACGCAAGATGAACGACTTTCTCGTAAATACTACTCACTAACATGCACTAAAAAAACAAAAATCAAAAAAAAAAAATATATTAAAAAATAAAAAAAACAAAAAAGCAAGAAAATCTGCTCAAAAAATAAAATCAATACAGGAAATAAATAGACCACGTAGTGGAGTAATTCATCGCTGGTTCAAATTTTGTGAGGTTTATGAACAGGATAAAAATGCGAACCTTTTGAACTGTCCGACCGTAGTTTGTAGCGCGGTACTTGCAACAACTTGAGAGTCATCCAGAAATTTCAACTTCACACTCGATAACTCATGCCTGGATAAGTCGTCTTTCTCGCCAGCAGTAAAACGATGAGAAGAATCTGGAAAACAAAGATGCATTAGCAGCCAACGGTACCAACCGTTTCCCAAAGAACGAGTGAAAACTTTTTCATGCTTTTTTAATTTTTTTAATTTTTCCACACTTAATTTTTCTACAGCATACACAACCACCGAATCTTTCCTTCATCGAAGCAGCGATCCTGGCATTCGCTTTCTTACTTTATTCTTCACTTTTACGAACAAACAGTGTTCAATCGATGGTTTGCTTGATAAATTACTTCACTTATATTGATCCTATGCTCCAGACATACAGCCCCCATCGCAAAAAACTTAGCCAGCTTTTTGATGATAAACAAAAGGAAAAATCACTAATAAATTTACCGCACAAAAAAGGACATTTATCCAAAAATCAGTGGAAGTTGTAAGTGGCAGAGGTGAGGGCAAGGAGACATCTGCTTTCCTAAAGTCTCTCGTACACGCACTGAAAAATACATAGTGCTAGCTGACTGCGTACAACTTGCAACGATCGATACGGAAGATCTAGCAATATTATTAGCATCAAATTCTCGCATCGATTATTGCCCCGATGATCCAGGTAACACCGGTAAAAGAAAGTAGGAGAAAAACGGCAGCGCAATTTGCATTCATTTTTTGGGTTCGGGTCCGAATTGCGAAAACAGTGGCATTGAACTTTTTACCTAGGTTTGCGCGGATAATCAGTCTAAAACATCACACTGTTCTGTGTGAGTGTGAGACTTGAAATACCAGCCTTGCTGAAGAACGGAAATTGGCAGCTTCTCAAAGAGCAATGGAGCGGCGGATGGCTGGCGCCAACAGGCTGCAGCACATCCCAAATGAAGTGCTTCGAGCCAGATCTGCCGTGAAAGATATTACTGAAGCAGTGTACGCCAGCAAGAAGAGATAAGCTGGTACTGTGGCACGGATGACAGAGAGTAGGTAGACAAAGCGAATAATGGAATGGTATCTGCGCACAGTCAAGCGAACACTGGAGAGGCCATCAATGAGGTGAAGAGGCCCAACGGTACACACCTGTACGCTGTCGCGGGACTCAGAGAGCGCAACAACGAAACAAATGGAGAAATTGCCAGTTGCATCGATGGCGTAACAACGGAAGTCGATGACATACAGCTACTTAAGTACTCAAGTAAGTGAGTAAGTACTGCACACAAAAGGTTCAGGCTGCACACAAAAAAGCTTATAAAGCCATCCCTTCCCCTTCCATAAATCCCGTTTTTCTTTCCAGTGATTTGGATTTCAGTGATCTGTCTTAACTGCGATCAATTAATTGAAATAGAAGAATGGAAGGATTTCACACGAATGTCATGTGTATGAGAAAACATTTTATGATGCAGTTTCTGTGTTTCAACTTACCAGTAACAATAGCACACAGCTGCTGTTTTATGCTTGTTTCATCCACTTTCAAACCGTTTTCTGTCTAAACATACCACTATTAGTGCAAAGAAAAAGTGAAGTTTTGCTGTCAAAAAAGTAAATTTAAGCTCTTCTCCTACCTTACATGTATGTTATCCACTTTTCCAAATGGTGGATTGAGGGCTGCACTTACGACTCCTACCCCAATTCACACCGAATAATGTCTGTGTTTGCAGCTTAGGGATGAAACACAGACAGCCAAGTTTACATTCAACTTTCCCACAGGTCCTTATTACATTCCCTGTACATTTTTTCACAACATATGCTCTCCACTATCATTTCTTGATTTCGTGGTCTTTTCTTTCATTCCACAACAACATTGCTGTGTATTTTTTAGACACTAACTTTTTTAGTTGAGTCTGAAGAAGCACTATTTTGTTGCGGCTCATCAGTTCCACCGACAGTACTGCTTCTCGAAACTTCATTTTCTGAGTTTCCTGATCGCTGTTCACTCTGCAAATGATCTGATTATTACTTAACAGGCAGTCCCACATGTTTCGAGTGAAATGAATTATTACCAGTTATTATTTACTAACTGCCAATACCTTTTTTTCTGAGATTAGAAGACTAGTACGGCTTTCTAAAACAACATCGCACCAAGACCAGCAAGCCACGAGAGTCTGCGATGCTATTTTCACTGCAACCATCATACTGACAAGGTCCAGTCACGCAGCGTCGAATTAAGGTGTATACAGCTTAATGGATCGAAACACCTTATCTGACCTTCTCTTCTCTTGCGATACTGCTCTTTCTTTCCGAATTCTACCACATCTCATCACTTATGCTTCCACAATCATCCTCAATGCTACACTCGACTTAGAAAAAGCAACAGTGGTCTTCTCGCTGTCACAATTGATAGTTTTTGTTAGAAATAGGTTAAAGAACAATTGCATTATTATGACGCAATACCCCGGCCCCTGATTCAAACTTTGGACACCCTACCCTTGTTAAACTTTCGCTATCTGAGACCTCTAGGGTATAAAAAAGCACCTCCCCATCGCCAGGAGGGACACAACTCATCGACTACTCTCGACTTATTTTATTAGCTTTACTCCTACTCTGGGGAGGTTTGGCTAGCCAGAGCCTCACCACCTTTTTTGCATTACTTTTTAAAACGCTGCGTATTTGTAAATATGTATATATGACGAGGAGTCGTTCACACGTACACGTACATACATGCACACACACACTTACACACGGGCATAAAACCAGTTCAAAATAATAATCGTTAGGGCCGCAATATAATCTTCATTCGCCCATTTAGTAGTTCACATCTCTGTAAGCACACTATCATACGCTTACGCAAATTTGAACTGAACGGGAGAATGAAGAGAAGTAAAAAGAGAATAAGACAGAGTAAAAGAAGGGAAAAATTTCTTCAAAATTTTGGTGTGAAACAAAAAAAAAAAAAACCACCTGTCCTCTCCGTTCTTCAGTTCGCGTTTCGTCTGAATTTCCTTCGTTCCTGAAATACAAGTTCTAAAAAAAATCAGAGTGAAAGATGGACTGATAGGACTGGGTTTTTAAAGGAGGGATCCACTGACGGTATTTGAGGAACTGAACCTTCAATACGTTCAATTCTTCTACCGAATGAAAAACTGATTGGTTATGTTCAATTCTAATACGCTCAATTCTTCTAACGAATACGCTGAACCTCTAATATGTTCAATTCTTCTACCGAATGAAAAATTAATTGGTTTTCTAACTAGGCGAATTGAATCGATTGCCGGGGGCTATTTGCAGATTTATCAAACTCGCTAGTGAAAAAGAAGGGTTACAAACCTTTGCAAAGTCTGCACATTTTGCGAAGCAGCAGCAGCAGCAGCAGCAGGAGTTTCTTGGGAAGCGCTATTTTGTGACATTAAAAAAGCTTGAAGTGCTTGATTTTCGGAAAGTGCTCGTTCGGGACGATCTCGAAATAAGCTTGCTTCTTGATTCTCTACTTGTAATACCTGCAATTACCGCATTAATCTTATTGGAACAGAGTATTTAAAATCGATAATCAAGTCTTTGGCTGAAAAGTGAACGCTAGCTGGCTATGTCCGGCACAGCGATAGGGCGAAGAATGCTTGAAATGCTTTTTGTGACCATATAAACAATCAGACTCTCCATCAGGCGATTGATTTGAAAAAAATATCATTACAACCATGAAAAAGAAACAAAATTCAGTAAACAGAGCACGATGCTCCCCTCCAGTTGACAACCGGCGGACGTAGCTCATCAATAAGTGGTATCTGCGAAAAGGCTGCAGTAGAAACGCAAAAAGTTTTAATAGTGGATAACATGCATCTTAACATTTTAATATACACACATTAACAAAAACTGCTATTACAAAAAAATAAAGAGAAAATGATGAAGTAGAAAAAATGAAGAACGGAAGAAAAATGAAGCAAAAAAAAAAAAAAAACGAACTGGAAAAGGGAAATGAGAGTATGGGAATATTTGTAATAGGTAAGAAATGTTTCGGTCCATTAAGTCGTATACATTTCTTATCACTACCACAATTGGACCTCGTTAGCATGATGATTGTGGTAACAAAATAATTTAGATGGTTTAGTGTAGTATAAAAATTTTCAAGATAAAAATAACATGTATTATACTGGTGAGATAAAACTAACAAACTGGTATTATAAAATACTGGTGAGATTTGGCTGATTCTGCTAGATTTAGGGAGCTCCTTGGCCTATAGGTCTGGGGCAAAACAGAAATTCTAGCACTGGTGGAAAGGAAAAATGAATGGTGGAAAGGAAAAAAAAAAATGACAGCATGTAACAGAGGCCTAAAAATTTGGTAAAAAACAGCCTAAAGCAATTTATAATTACCA